GAAAAATGGGGAAAACCCACAAAGAAATGGGGAAAATACACAAAGAAATGGGGGAAAACACACCAAAAAATGGGGGGAAAACACAAAGAAATGGGGGAAAACCACAAAAAAATGGGGAAAAAACATAAAAAAATGGGGGAAAACACACCAAAAAATGGGGGGAAAACACAAAGAAATGGGGAAAAATACAAAAAAATGGGGGGAATTGGGAAAAATGGGGAAAAATGGGGAAAAAACACAAAGAAATGGGGAAAAAACACACCAAGAAATGGGGGAAATTGGGGAAAAATGGGGAAAAATGGGGAAAAATACAAAGAAATGGGGAAAATACACCAAAAATGGGGGAAAACACAAAGAAATGGGGAAAATACAAAAAACCAGGGAAAAACACAAAGAAATGGGGGAAAACACACCAATGGGGGAAAACACAAAGAAATGGGGAAAATACAAAAAACCAGGGAAAAACACAAAGAAATGGGGGAAAACACACCAAAAAATGGGGGGAATTGGGAAAAATGGGGAAAAATGGGGAAAATACACCAAAAATGGGGGAAAACACAAAGAAATGGGGAAAATACAAAAACCCAGGGAAAAACACAAAGAAATGGGGGAAAACACACCAAAAAATGGGGAAAATACAAAGAAATGGGGAAAATACAAAAAAATGGGGAAAAAACACACCAAAAAATGGGGAAAAAACACAAAAAAATGGGAGAAAACACACCAAAAAATGGGGAAAAACACAAAGAAATGGGGAAAAAACACAAAAAAATGGGGGAAAACACAAAGAAATGGGGGAAAACACACCAAAAAATGGGGGGAATTGGGAAAAATGGGGAAAAATACAAAGAAATGGGGAAAATACACCAAAAATGGGGGAAAACACAAAGAAATGGGGAAAATACAAAAAACCAGGGAAAAACACAAAGAAATGGGGGAAAACACACCAAAAAATGGGGGGAATTGGGAAAAATGGGGAAAAATGGGGAAAATACACCAAAAATGGGGGAAAACACAAAGAAATGGGGAAAATACAAAAACCCAGGGAAAAACACAAAGAAATGGGGGAAAACACACCAAAAAATGGGGAAAATACAAAGAAATGGGGAAAATACAAAAAAATGAGGAAAAAACACACCAAAAAATGGGGAAAAAACACAAAAAAATGGGAGAAAACACACCAAAAAATGGGGAAAAACACAAAGAAATGGGGAAAAAACACAAAAAAATGGGGGAAAACACAAAGAAATGGGGGAAAACACACCAAAAAATGGGGGGAATTGGGAAAAATGGGGAAAAATACAAAGAAATGGGGAAAATACACCAAAAATGGGGGAAAACACAAAGAAATGGGGAAAATACAAAAAACCAGGGAAAAACACAAAGAAATGGGGGAAAACACACCAAAAAATGGGGAAAATACAAAGAAATGGGGAAAATACAAAAAAATGGGGAAAAAACACACCAAAAAATGGGGAAAAAACACAAAAAAATGGGGGAAAACACAAAGAAATGGGGGAAAACACACCAAAAATGGGGGGAAAACACAGAGAAATGGGGGAAAACACACCAAAAAATGGGGGAAAACACAAAAAATGGGGGAAAACACACCAAAAATGGGGGGAAAACACAGAGAAATGGGGGAAAAACACAAAGAAATGGGGAAAAACACACCAAAAATGGGGGGAATTGGGAAAAATGGGGGAAAAACACACCAAAAATGGGGAAAATACACAAAGAAATGGGAAAAAATACAAAAAAATGGGGAAAAATACAAAAAACCAGGGAAAAACACAAAGAAATGGGGGAAAACACACCAAAAAATGGGGAAAATACAAAGAAATGGGGAAAATACAAAAAAATGGGGAAAAAACACACCAAAAAATGGGGAAATGGGGAAAATACAAAGAAATGGGGAAAATACAAAAAAATGGGGAAAAAACACACCAAAAAATGGGGAAAAAACACAAAAAAATGGGGGGAAACACAAAGAAATGGGGAAAATACACAAAGAAATGGGGGAAAAACACAAAGAAATGGGGGATAAACACAAAGAAATGGGGGAAAATACAAAAAAATGGGGAAAAACACAAAGAAATGGGGAAATACACAAAGAAATGGGGAAAAATACAAAAAAATGGGGAAAAACACAAAGAATTGAGAAATACACAAAGAAATGGGGAAAAATACAAAAAAATGGGGAAAAATACAAAAAAATGTGGAAAAATAGAAAAAAATGGGAAAAAACATAGAGAAATGGGGAAAAATACCAAAAAATGGGGGGAAAATACAAAAAAATGGGGAAGAAAAGGGGGAAATGGGGGGAAAAGGGGGGAAATGGGGAAAAACACAAAAAAAAATGGGGAAAACCTGTGGGAATGGGAAAAAAATGGGAAAAGTGGGGGAAAATGTGGAGAAATGGGAAAAAATGAAAAAAAAATGGGTGAAAACGGAAAAAAATGGTGAAAATGGGGGAAAAATGGGGGGAAAAAACGCAAAAAAAAACCCACAAAAAAATCCCCAAAATATCCCCCAAAAAATCCTAAAAAAATCCCCCAAAAATCCAAAAAAAAATTCCCGAAAATTCCCCCAAAAATCCCAAAAAAATCCTCCCAAAATCCTAAAAAAAATCCCCAAAAATAAAAAAAAAAATCCCCAAAAATCGCAAAAAAATCCCCAAAAAATTCCCAAAAAATTCCCAAAAATTCCCCCAAAATCCCCCCAAATTCCCAAGGCTCCCGTTGGATTTTGGGGTTCTCTCTGCTCGCAGTGGGGGCCCCCCTGGAGCTGCCGCGGCTCCCGGAGCCCAAAAATCCCAAAAACCCGGAAAAAAGCCCCCAAAATCCAGAAAAAATTCCCCAAAAATCCAGGGAAAAAAACTCCATAAATCCCATTAAAAATTGGAAGAAAATTTGTTAAAAAACAAAAAAAAATCCCTAAAAAAATCCCAAAAAACCCCAAAAAATCCCCCAAAAATCCCCAAAAAATCCCCAAAAATCCCCCAAAAATCCAAAAAAAATCCCCCAAAAAATCGCAAAAAAATACCCAAAAAATCCCAAAAAAATCCCCAAAAAATCAAAAA